TATATATATTATGTATATAATATATATGTAAAATTGCTCAAAAACCCAGAAAACAGAATGGAAATCTTTGTCAGCATTCTGTGGCTGGTGTGTGCTCTGTGTGTAATAAGTTTATACAGCAATGTGAGTGAAAGTGGGAACTGGAACCTCTCAAACTTGGAAGCAACTCCTGAATTGTGTAGCACGCAAGTCACATGATTAAAAACATTAAAATAGATCAAAGCTTGGAAAAGATTAAGTACATAGCTATACTCTTAGCTAACAAATTGAACAGTTTTTAATTTAATGGGCTAAATTCACCCATATAGTCTTATGTGTCTTTGAAATTTAGAATTACAGTAATCAATATTTGCTTTGCTGTGCATCTTAATAACTAAGGAAGAATTTATAGTCTAAAATAAAAACTTGAATACAATTTGAAGTCTAAAATCAAGACATAATTGAATTTAGAATTAGCAAATGTTCACATTTAATTTTTATTGTTTAAATGTTGAAACTGTTAGATTTTAAAGAGAATAACCACTGGTGTGAAAAATGTGCTAAAACAATAATTTTATAAAACAAACGTTACCTGTTATTCTTCCAAGTTGACCATGAAATATCTTTCCCACAAAGCCACTAATATGAGCCCCTAAGCTCACACCTATGAAATGAAATTTGTCAAGCGATGCTCCATGATTCTGTAATTGAAAAATGCATTGTAATATTTTCAGTTTGTGGCAAACAGAAATCGTGGCTAATATATCAACATTCTAAACTTCTTTTTTGATTCTGACTTACTCTATTTCTGGGATGTAAGAAAGGGAACTTTATGATTTTGAAACAAACATAGCTTTATTTAGTTTTCACTATGAAATATCTAATTTTTCTCTATTTAGTGGCATTATTAAATTGTATTTACAAATTTAAATTTTATCACCTAGTATGTAGAATCAAATCTGTAAAATAATAATTATCAAGGTATTTTATGAGCAAATAGTAATAATAGGTAAGATTAGGTGCTTACTTTGTGCTAGGTACCTTGGCTATACCTTGAACCTTTTATATTGAATATTCCTATTTTCCCCATATGTTAATCATCTTTATTGAATTGTTTAAAACTGTTTCTAATACTTATTAAATACTTTCTAAATAACATTCAGTTAAGGTTTATTTGAGAAAGGAAACAGGCCCAGAGTTTAAAGACTTGCACAAAGCTACATATAAAAAAGATGGATTTCCAGTGACTAAGTTCTCAATGTTTATGTCCTCACAAATGAATATGTAAACCCTAGCCCCTAGTGTCATGGTTGCTGGAGGTGGAGCCTTAGTGGGGATGATGATATCAGGAGATTGAAACATTCAAGAATGGATTAATGTCTTGATAAAGAAGGCCTGAGGAAGCTCATGTGGCCTTTTCACATGTCCACATGAGGCCATCAAGGAACTAGGTGTGAGCGTCACCACACCCAGAATCTGCTGGGCCCATGCTCTTGGACTTCTCAGCTTACAGAACTGTGAGAAATAAATTTATCTCTTTAACAGATCAGTTTATGGTATTCATTAAAGCAGCTCAAATGGGCCAAGATACAAGTCTGGATTAGTTTGAATCCAAAATGTATGCTAACTTTCCTCTGTTTTATCTATTCACCTTATATCATAAACCTTTAAAAGTGCAAAAGACACTCTTACTTAAGATATGATAATATTAATTCTATGAATTTCAAATTGGTTCCCTTATCACAGTCTGAATAGTGATAGGGAACAGTGTCCACTGTCCAATGTGATCATCTGGTAGCCTCAAGTAGGCAGCACTGAAAGTTATCTGAGTGGCTATTTTTTTCACCAGATTCTCAGGGAGCTGAGAGGAGTTTGGTGAGCAAGTAATGGTCCAGGCTACACAATGATAAGTCTGGAGGTTCAAAAAACAATGCTTAACATTTGCCACTATTGAAAAGGAAACTGAGACTTTCTCAGCACAAAGTAATCAGGTTCTTCAAGTTCCTAAGAGCAATGTCGAAAATCTGGGGAATATTTCTCTTAACTACAGTGCTATGTATATAAATCTTCCTGTTCCTACAAGTCTTTCACAAGCTAAAGGGCCATAAGCAATTTATCACATATTATTTTTCCTAAACTTCTCTACTTAATTCTTACTTCTTTCACATTTTGAGGCTCTTGTTTATTAGTTAAAGACAACTAAAATTCAGGAAAAAGTCAATTATTCAGTTTTATATATTATCAATATGTCTTCTGGGTCAATTATCTCCACATCTCTCCAAGGATAGTAAGGTTTCCTCCAAATTTGAAGATCTAAAACTAATAATGAAAGTTGCGTTTAGATTTGTTGAATTTGTTCAGTTTAGCACAGTTTGGACGTTCTTGTAGATTTCAATACTAATATTTTCCCACAAATCAAATGTAACCTTTGTTCTCTGAAGGACCTATCACCATCAACTCTCAGCAACAAATGTGGAACACCATAAGGATTGACTTAGTAAACAAGAATCAAAACACCTATGACCTAGAACTGACCTTGAACTTACTTGGTCCATCTCAACCCCAACCAGACTGAAATGAAACTGAGGGCTGCCTTTAGAGTTTGCAGAGTGTTCTGCTTTCTGAACTAAGTTTTCCTTTTACATTAACCAATTCCCATTTCACTAAACACAAAACATATTAGCCTTATCCTAGGAAAGAAGTATAAAGAATGCAATAATAATACAGTCATGACTGGGGCCCACATCAGATCACTACTTCATTCTAGAATTCAGCATAGGTAGGGTTTAAAAAAAAGCTTTATTGTTTTACAATAATTTACAATAAAATATAAAGCAAAACTTTCAGATAATTTTTAAAAAACATGAAATCTAAATATAGAATTATTCTTTAAGGTAGAAAACATATAGCTGCAAAATTACAGCAAAGCAAGAATTCTGAATGTTTATAAAAATGGGTTAATTTCATGGTATCGCATCACACATTGTATATTATATACATATATAATTTAAAATTTCCTAACTTACCAAAAGATTTTGAATGGATGAACTCAGGCTCTCAGCAACTGCTCTGGTGTTTTTAACTGCTCTACTGTAAAGGAAAGTTGTAGCACCCTGGTTCCAATCTACTACTATTACATTGATATCTTCTTCATTCAACAGAGTCTTCCGGAACCTATAAAGCCATGTAGGGGTAGAGCCCATTGGTCTATACCCGTGAATAATCAAAACAGTTTTCTTCTGTGGGTTGAAATGGATGTTAATTGAGTTATTTTGCTCAAACAGTGGTTCGGCACAGTTTATATTATTCCTTGAATACAACATCAGAATTATTTTTACTTTAGGAAAGAGCAAATCTCTTAAGGAATCCTTTATACTTAGCTTGGAGAATTCAAGGCATGATTTTTTATACTCTGAAAAGTAAAAAAAAAAAAAAGAAAGAAAGAAAGTCAAACTGAGCAGTGGATTCATACTAGATTTTTGATGGATAACTTTATACAGCAGAACTGAACATGGATAGTAGGGAAATTAATTGTTTTATGAACAATTTAGCATGCTTTACTGACCAACTATATTGTTTAAAGCTGAAGCATGATGAGGCAGAAAGACGTCTTGAACAAGAAGTAATAAAAATTATAATGACAAATATGAACAAAAGTAATTGGTTAAATGACAAATGCATTTTATTTTAAAATAACATAAAGGGTCTGACTGAAATCACTGCTATTATTAATAAACCAGTAAGTACAATAGTAAATGTGTTGATTGATCACAAACTTTATTAACCTTTGTAATTTTAAAAATATTACATTTATTTACTTTTTAATTTTATGTGTATGAGTGTTTTGCCTGCATGTATGTGATGCAATGCCCGAGGAGGTCAGGGGAGGGTGTTGGATCCCCTGTAACTGTAGTTACAGAAGGTTGTTAGCTGCCATCTGGGTGCTGGGATTGAAACTCAGTTCCTCTGCAAGAGCAGCCAGTGCTCTTGACCATTTTTTCAGCCTCTGATCATAAACTTTAACAAATGTTTTACAGAAGAATACTTACTTATAAAAAATAAGCATTAGGAAAAAAACTTATCTCACACCCCCAAACTAATATAAACCAAAATAAGGTATCATTTTGCTTATCAACTTTAAAATGTAGAAAAATCCTTCTATGGCATTGCTGTAATGCTGGCACTTTGAAGGCTGAAGTAGGAGTAACTCCGGTTCAAGGTTAGCCTTGATTACACAGCAAGAACCTGATAATGGGGAGCAAGAGAAGGAGGGAAGGAGGGAAGGAGAGAGAAGAGAGGAGAGAAGAGGAGAGCAGAGCAGAACAGAGGGAAGAGCAGAGGAGAGGAAAGGAGAAGGGAGGGGAGGGGAGGGGACAGGAGATATACAAATATTCACACAAATAAATGCTGAGAGCATAAACTGATGAAATAGTATTTTATAATTATATATGTGTGTGACATCACACACATCTTGAAATTATTTTTCCCTGAGATTTGAATTAATGAGATAAAAAAAATTGTATCAATTCTGAAGGATTGTGTATAATGACATAAATTGTAAAATATCGGACATCTCCCCGTCTGTCAATCTGTCTGTCCACTTGTCTGTCCATTTGTCCATCTATCCATTCATCTATTCATCCTAGAAGGATGAAGGACAGACAATGAAATAACTAAGAAAGTTTAATAGAAGTAGTCATTGCTAGGCAGTGAAATAATGACTATTTTTACTTCTTTTTTATGGTTTTCCAGAATTGTGGGTTTTTTTCATAATAAGCATATAATCGCAAAAGGTTTTTTCAAGAAGTTTTTATGAGAATATAGGCTTGTATTGCTTCTACTATGTTAGTTTGTTAAGACTATTTAGGAAAGAAATGTGTCAGTGTACATCAAATACTCATGAAACATTAGTAAATATCAGCTTAGAGGTTAAAATTCTTAAATCCTAGTAAAGGAAAATGAAATGAACTAACAGATATTATTTTCATATTGAACAAAATATGTTTATAATAATTCTAGTCTTGAAAGTATAGATGCATTATTGACACAATCATTTAGAAGAAGGAAAGGGAGCCATTGAAAGAGATTCAATATCTGCATTGATATTCCAAGGTCAGCAATTGAGATGTAATTGGAAAAGTTAACACTTGGATACTGCACATGCCCTAAGTACCAGAAAACAAGGATGTGGAGAGGAACAGATTGAACCATGATGGCTGAGTATTCGCTGCACTGAGCAAATTGTATAAAGGTCATAAACATCTTCTCCATGTATCAGATAGAGCATGGACAAGAGCCAAATGTTATCTGTAAGTCCAAACTGCTGGTCTGTTCTTTAGTAGTCGTTAGCCCTAGAATAAGTCCTAAGAAATTAACCAGCACGCTTCCTCCGATAAAAATAGGAAGGAATAAGAACAACTAACCAGCTTTCTGGAAGACTCTGTTTCCTTGTCAATCACCTCTTCTGGCTCTTATAATCTTTCCTCCTTTTCTGCAATGATCCCTGAGCCTTGGGAGGCAGAGGTCCAATTCAAGGATAAACGTTCTGTGCACTCTAGTTCTCTGAACATTGGCTGTGAATTTCTATGTTAATGACCATCTGCTTCATAAACTTCTCTGGTGAGAGTTGAGAAATGCTCAAAGCAGACAAAATCCCAGCATAGACATGGGGAATGGGTAAGAAATCCCAACCCAACATAAGGAACTTTTGGCACTTGATGGCTGGCTACTGGAAGTGAGGAATCAGTGTCTTACAGGGATGGGATTCTTGGTGGGCCCAGTGGATATGCCCAAATGGATATTTGGGGACACAAACTCTATTGGTAATATTATAAATATATGAGAGTACATTAAATTTGGCAGGGGAAAATGGAGGGACGTGGGGAGACAGGAAGGGATCTAAGTACCACCAAACTATATTGCATGAAAATCATAAAAATTCAATTATAAAAAAGCAGTTGCTGTAAAATGCTTTCTTTTATATAACCACATATGTAACAAACAAAAGCTTTTTAAAAGGGAAAGAAACCTTCACCCAAAATAATCGTCAGATAAATTTATTATCTATTATCAAATACAGAAGTAATTACAGAAATTTCTAAAGCATCTTCATTTAGAATGCAAGGAAAATGTCATTTCAAAAATTAGCAACAAGGGTTGGAAAGATGGCTCCGCAGTTAAGAACACTTGCTGCTCTTGCAGAGGGACTGGTTTAGGTTCCTAGCACCCACATGGTGGCTGACAGCAGCAGTCTGTGACTCCAATTCTGGGGCATGAGACATCTCTTCTGGCCTCTGCAGGCACCAGGAACACACATGGTCCACATACAAGCATATAGTCAAAGCACTAGGACACACAAAATAAAATAAACAAATCTTCAAACACAGGAGAAGGAAGCTATTCAGAGGAAAACTTGAAGTTAGAAAGAAACAACAGGATCAGATAAAGAAGAGAACAATTAGATACTCCAATTAAGGAAGAATTTAAATTTAATTACATAGTAAACATTAAAATGGCAAAAATACTGAGATCTCTTCTTATAAGAATAAATGAAAGAAAGGGGTATTGAGATTATGTAGAGAACACAGCTATGGGATGAAGAATGATGATGCAGATTGAAAACTGTGCTTTTCCTATAGAATGGCCAGCTGGGGGGAGAGAAGAGGTTAGCAGCTCCATTAATTAAGGACATAATCGCATGCCAGGGCTTGCAAACTGAACAGGCTCACCACAACGTATAGAAAATCACTTCATCAGACTTACTAACAATATGTCTAGAAACTCAATTGGATTTCAATGAAAAATTGTAAGACCCTAAAAGTATCAAGACAGAAAATTCAGATTACAAAAGAGGAATGATGACTTAAATTTTTCCTTCTGAAACATTTATACAGATAGAAGTTTAGTCAATGAAACTTTTTTATTATTACTATTATTTTATGTTATGTGTGTGATTGTATTGTCTGTATGTGTGTAAGTGCACCCATATTGTGCAATGCCTGGGGAGGTCAGAGGAGGGCATGAGGTCAACTGAAACTGAAGTTACAGACAGTTGTTAGCTGCCATGTGAGCTCTGGGAACAGAACCCAGGTCTTCTGCAAGAGCAGCCAGTGCTCCTAACCACTGAGCCATCTCTGCAGCCCCAGTCAATGAGATTTTTAAGTAGAGCAGTTTGGAAACTAATAATTTTATATATTTTTTGAAAGACACTATTCATAAATGATGTTAGAACTCTTGAGATTGTGATTCCTCTCTCTCTCTCTCTCTCTCTCTCTCTCTCTCTCTGCTATACGTTTAGTGTCTATGTGTATAGTCCATGCACATACATATATAGGTGCATACATATAGGTGCACCTATATAGGTGATTACTGCTTCCAGAGCAGTAATCAAATCTCTTCCTTTATCAGTCTCCACATTACTGCCTGAGACAGGATCTCTCACTGAACCAGAAGCTAGCCATTTCAATTAGACTAGCTGGGCCAGGACATGCTCCAGATCCACTTGGCTCCACCCTCTATTGCTGGAGGTACAGGTGCATATAGCCATGTGCAGCTTCTTACATAGGTACTGGATATTCTAAGTCAGGTCCTCATCCTCGAAGAACAAGCACTATTACTCACTGAGTCATCTCCTTATACCTGAGGTTGTGGTTCTTAAATAAAAATTTTTGATTCATTAGATGCAAAATTCATAAAAATTCATTATATAAAATATTGATATAAAAACTGGTTCCTTAATAATTAGTAGATGTGAAAAACATTACCACTGAAATCTACCTGGCTCAGAAAGTAGCCAATTGTGACTAGTAATAATCAGATGTATAGAGATTAGAAACATATGTGCATCTTAGTGTCAATTGTATTAAAAATGAATTTTTTGTATGAAATTGTATTTTAATAATGAAATGGAGATCTTTTATAAAGTTTAAAACCTCATTTAATTTTATGTCTTATAGGGTTTGTACAGAGTACAGTGTTGTATAACTGTGTTGATTCAGCTGTAAGCCTAAGGGTTTATGGCCAGTTTTCGGGGAGATGCATCTTAGCTCTGGAAATTGTTGTTGAGTGTGCCAATGCTGTTGTAATGAAATGCTTCTTCTAATTTTATGGTTATTAAATAAGTAATTAAAAAATATTGATAGTGAATGTGAAAATAAATGTTGATCTAACTTTAAAGCCAGATAACACAGAGAAGTCCTCTATTGAATATAGCATGAAATTTCAATGTTTTAACTCCAAAAATAAAAAGGAGCTTCAAAAAGTACTGAAAGTATGAAATGATAATGCTACATCATGTCAAGCAGTGCACAAACTTCTACAAACTAAAAAATATAAAAGTATAACAGTGTACATATAAAAAGACAATAAACATTTGAAAGGGGATCATAGAAAGCATAAAGCATAAAGCAAAAT